AGGGGTAGTATTTTTATTGTTTTAATATGATAATATAGTCATCGGGGTATAGATAGACATTTTCTTAGAGAAAAGGGCCTGAAATTCATTTTTATAGGATAGCTATAATTGCTTTCTCTGCAGCTTCGAGAGCTGTGCAAGGAAAATGCATCTGCAAAAGGACGAATTGTTACTCTTGAAGAGACCATAAATGTCCATGAGATGGAGGCAAAGGCTAGCAGAGAGACCATTGTGAGGCTGGCTGAAGAAGTAAACAGGCAGCAGGAAAAAAGTGCCTCCTGTCTTGACGAGAAAGACAAGCGGAGCCAGGTACATATGTATGTGAAGTGTGCGTGGGCATCTGTGGTCACATTTATGAAGCAGAAATTGATAAACGGATGTAAGACAAGCACACGAGGACAATCGGCCACAGTTTCTAAAGGCACGCTCTGGGGATGGCCTGCCATTCTGTGACCTCAATAGGCTATTTGGTAATTTTTTTTTGGCTAATTAGAATAAAAGGAAATACAAAATAGTTAAAATTAAAGAACTCGTAGAGAATATGCCTTACTTTAGTCAAATTACGAGGATGTTTTCTACAATTTAAATTTTTGAATAAACAGGTATTCCATTCACAAGGTACGAGATCCCACATGCGCCCAGAGGTATACAATTAAAAATCTTCGTCCAATCCCACTCTCCCAACCAGTCCTTTGCTCTCCTCAGAGCCAACCTTTGTTTAACAGTTGCTTTTACAGGCAGTCCCCAGGTTACCACTGAGATCCGGTCCTAACTGTGTCTTTGAGAATTTGTAGGTTGGTCGGAACAAGTACATAGGGTTCTTAGCCTTATTTTGGTACAAGAAAATACTCGAAGTCTTTGTAAAGATTTAAAAGCTGCCTGTGAAGCAAGTGAAGGAGATTGTGATGAATAATTTGTGGCCAGGGGTTGGTTCAGTCTTCTCAAAAAAACAAAAACCAACCTCACTGCTGTTGAGTTGGATCTGACTCATAGCGACCCCTCCTTGGGTTTCCGAGGCAGTATTGCTATGGAAGTAGATTGACCAACCTTCCTTCTGAGGGGTGGCTGGTGGGTTTGAACCACCAGCCTTCTGGTTAGCAGCCAAATGCCTTAGGCCCTATGCCACCAAATTTATATAACATTAAAGGTCAAGTAGAGGCTCTGGTGGCATAGGGCCTAAGGCATTTGACTGTTAACCAGAAGGTTGGTGATTCAAACCCACAGGCCACTCTGTGGATGGAAGGCTGGGCAGTCTACTTCCATAAAAATTTACCACCCGAGAAACCCAAAGGGGGTTGCTATGTAATGGAATCAACTAGATGGCAGTGAGTTTGGTTTTTCAGTAGAGGAGTTGTCAGTAAATCAGATGTTCATAACCCAGGGACTACCTGTTTACCTTTAGAGAACAATTCTGCACATGCATATACATATAGGAGTCCCTGGATGGTACACATGGTTCACACACTTGCTGATAACTGAAAGGTTGGCAGTTCGAGTCCATCTAGACACACCTCAGAAGAAAGGCCTAGTGGTCTTCTCAAAAATCAGCAATTGAAAACCCTGTGGAGCACAGTGCTGCTCTGACACACGTGAGGTCACCGTGAGTCGGGATTAATATGCATGAGCCACATTTTGACACAAATGACACACATGTTATATGTCATTTGCAAACTGTACAACCCTCTAATGCATTAGTTTCCTATGCACATTATATGTATGTCTACATTATTTACGTGGGCACGTTATTTGCAAAAAACATGGTACATACGCCTTTCGATCATTTTTAACACGAATGATAACATACTCTACACACTATTATAAACAAGGCATCTGTGAATAATCTTGTATCTTTCTCATGTGTCAGTATATATCAGTAAAACAAGATCCTAGATGGAGACTTGCTGTTTCAAAGGGTATGGGTCTTGTAATTTTGAGGGACATTGCCAAAAGGAAGTGATTTTTAATTATGGATTTTATTTTGACAATCGATTTCTTGATGTTTTCAAATTGCTAGAACCCACTTGAACATTAAAATTAATATTATATATTTGTAAACCCTATGTTGTTGTTGTTAGGTGCCATCAAATCAGCTCCAACTTGTAGCGACCCCATGTATAACAGAATGAAACACTGCCTGGTCATGCACCATCCTCACAATCCTGGCTACACCTAAGCCCATCATTGCAGCCACTGTGTCAATCCATCTCATCCCTTTTTTGCTAATCCTCCACTTCACCAAGCATGATATCTGTATCCAGGGAATGGTCCCTTCTGACAACATGACCAAAGTTGTTGTTATTATGTGCCGTTGAGTCGGACCTGACTCACAGCAACCCCTCCTTGGGTTTCCAAGGCAGTATCACTATGGAAGTAGATTGCCCCATCTTTCAAAGTAGATGAGATGAAGTCTGGCCATTCTTGCTTCCAAGGAGCGTTCAGGCTGCACTTCTTCCAGGGCAGATTTGTTAGTTCTTCTGGCAGACCATGGTACTTTCAGTATTCTTTGCTAACACTACAACTAAAAAGCATCAACTCTTCTTTGATCTTCCTTATTCATTGTCCAGCTCTCACATGCATATGAGGTGATTGAAAATACGATGGTTTGGGTTAGCTGTACTTAGTCTTCAAAGAGACATCTTTGCTCTTTGGCACTTTAAAGAGGTCTTTTGCAGCTGATTTATCCAGTGCTACATGACATCTAGTTTCTTGACTATTGCTTCCATTGGTGTTGATTTTAGATCCAAGTGATCAGAAATCTTTGACAGCTTCAATCTTTTCTTCATTTATCATGATGCTGCTGTAGTCCAGTTGTGAGGAGTTTTGTTTTCATTGTATTCAGGTGTAATCCATACTGCAGACTATAGTCTTTAATCTTCATCAGTCAGTGCTTCAAGTCATCTTCACTTTCAGCAAGGAAGGTTGTATCATCTTCATATTGCAGGTTGTTAATGAGTCTTCCTCCAATCCTGATGCCACGTTCTTCTTCATATAGTCCAGCTTCTCAGATTATTTGCTCATATACAGATTAAATAATTATGGTGAAGGGATACAACCCTGACACACATACTTTCTGATTTTAAACCATTTGGTATCCCCTTGTTCTGTCTGAATGACAACCTCCTGGTCTTTGTACAGTTCCTCATGAGCACAACAAAGTGTTCTGGAATTCCCATTTTTCTCAGTGTTATCCATAATTTGTTATGATCCACACAGTCAAATGCTTTTGCATAGTCAATAAAACACAAAGAAACATCTTTCTCTATTCTTTGCTTTCAGCCAAGATCCATCTGACATCAGCAATGATATTCCTCATTCTACATCCTTTTCTGAATCCAGCTTGCATTTCTGGCAGTTCTCTGTCAATATATTGCTGCAACCATTTAAAAATTATCTTCAGTAAACTTTTAGTTGCATGTGATATTAACTATATTGTTAGATAATTTCCACATTCTCTTGTCACCTTTCTTTGGAATGGGTACAAATATGGATCTCTTCCAGTCACTTGGCCAGGTAGTTGTCTTCCAAATTTCTTGGAATTGATGAGTAAGTGCCTCCAGAACAGCATCTGTTGAAACATTTCAATGGGAAGTCCATCAATTCCCAGAGTCTTTTTTTTTTTTTCCCAATACCATTGGTTCTTGATCATATGCCACCTCTTGAAATAGATGAACATTGACCAATTCTTTTTTGTACAGTGACCCTATATTTTCCTTCCATCTTCTTTTGATGCTTCCTGCATCATTCAATATTTTGTCCATAGAATCTTTCAATATTGTAACTTAAGGCTTGAATTTTTTCTTCAGTTCTTTCACCTTGAGCAATGCCAAACGTTTTCTTCCTTTTCGGTTTTCTAACTCCAGATCTTTGCACATTTCATTCTAATAATTGACTTTGTCTTCTTGAGCTGCTCTTTGAAATCTTCTGTTCAGCCCTTTTATCTTGTTATTTCTTCCATATGCTTTAGCTACTCTCCATTCAAAAGCAAGTTTCAGAGCCTCTTCTGACAACAATTTTGGTCTTTTCTTCCTTTCCTGTCCTTTTAATGACCTTTGATTTCTTCATGGATGATATTCTTGATGCCATCCCACAATTTATCTGGTTTTTGGTCATTGGTGTTCACTTTGTCAAATCTCTTCTTCAGATGGTCTCTAAATTCAGATGGGATACAATCAAGGTCATATTTCAGCTGTTATGGACTTGTTTCAGTTGTCTTCAGTTTTAACTTGAACTTGCAAATGAACAATTGATGGTCAGCTCCTGACCTTGTTTTGCCTGAAGATAGTCAGCTTTTCCATTGCCTCTTTCCACAGATGTAGTTGATCTGATTCCTGTGTATTCCATTTGATGAGGTCCATGTGTATAGCCACTGTTTATGTTGTTGAAAAAAGGTATTTGTGAGTGGAGTTCCGGCGAGACGGTGGAATAGACACACAAACTACACAGACTCTCTTCAGTAAATAAAAGGGGAACCCATTTACACAGATACAGAAGATAATCCTGGATCCCTGAGCTTTGAAAGGGAGGATACAGAAGTGGACTAAACTCCAACTAGTAGAAGAACCTTCATGAAAATACCAAAAATGATACATACAGAGCTGCGGTCTGTCAGCGATACTGACAGCATGGACAGCTTGGATATTACCAAGTGGTGTTAGGACCTAAGAATTAACCTAAAAATCACCCCTGCTAGCCAGGGACTGCACAAAGGACTGCTATGGTGGCTGGTGAATAAAAGGGGAAGCAGCAAAGAGGGAGATGGGTTGAGCTGTGGCATTTTGGCTGTATGGAGGGTGCAGCCATTTTGAATGTTTATAAATGGTTTGATCATTTTGGATATTTAAAGCAACAGCCTTCTCTCAGATCCCAGGAACCTAAGAATAGGCTCTACTTGCCGGGGACCACAAGGACATTCTGGACACGAACGACTGGAAAGGTGCGATATTCCCCTTGTTACTCTTATAACCCCACATCTTCTTAGTGAACAGAGGTGCAGTCATCCCTCACTACCACCCACCTTCTGGGCTGGTAGGAATTCCATCCCAGTCTGTGTGCTCCAACGGATCCTGGGTGCCCTGCCCTGTTCTGCCCAGATTTCTTTCCTTTTTTTTTTTTTTCAGTTTGTTTGTTTTTGTCTGTTTTATAATTATTCTTCTTCTATTTTTCATGTCCTTTTTATTATTATTCTTTCTTCCTCTCTTCTCAGGTTCTAGTTTTCAGCTTTTTCTCTCTTCTCTGTTCTTGGTTCCCTTTTTTTTGTTGTTGTTCTTGTGGTTCTCCCCATTCCTTGTTTTTCTTTTTGCATTTTCCCC